CATAGGTTCTGTAGAACTAAACAGTTTGAGTTCAGTTGAAGCCATCTTCTGGTCAATTGTCTCCGGATTAGCGATAATAGAAGAGACCAATTGATCGGCGTTTCCGTCCATTTCTTCATTGTGTGAATGACTTCCGCCTAAGTCTATATAAACGGCGTCCTTATCGTAGACCAGACCTCCGACGCCAGACATCGGCGCATAAATGAGTCGCTCTTTTTCATTAAGCGATCGACGCTTTTCTTTGTCTGGAAGAGGACACGGATCCGATAGAAACGATATGTCTTTGATAGTGAAGTCTCCGCAGCCGGGAATGTGGACCTCATTATTCCTCTTAAAATTAGTTCCGCGCGAATACCCGAAGAGACAGACCTTTCGATTGCATTTAGGATTTTGGCGAATCGTCTCCTGATTAGTGATGTCTTCGATTCGGTCGACAATCAAAAAGGGATGACTTGTGATCCACTGTAAGGGACGGAATTTGATCACTGATATGAAGCGACACAAGTTGTGGATCTCATTCTTCAGGTATTGGCCGCCAATCATTCCCGAGAGATAGAAGAGTTTGGCTCCGGAATAGATTTCGGTCCAAAACCTGTGTTTCAACACTTTCTTCGTTTTCCTCAACACCTTCTGATTCCTAAAGACATCCAAATGAGTCAATACACCCATAATTCTGGGGAATCCATGCGATTGACAGATGTTTAAGAACTCAAACGTTTCCATTTCAAAGCCAAAGCTGGCGTCCACTAAGAGGAGCACCAAATCCGCCACTTTTGCCAAATCTATCATTGAATTGATGTCATTATTGCACTCAATTAGTGTCAGTCGTCTCTTCTTCCCCGACACACAAGTGATCGGACCTTTCATTTCATGCAAATTATTTCGACACATATTCTTCAGTATGGATGAGATTAGTGTAGTTTTGCCCACTTTTTGAGGGCCAACCACTGCCACGACATACGGCGGCGGCTCTAATGGCGACCGATCTATGAGAGGGATGTGCTCTCTCTTTGCCGTCAAGTCTTGTTTGCGGCGGAACTGTCTCTCGGCCTTAACCGCAGACTTAATGGCAAATGCCTTTACATTCCTCTTCTTCGCGCTCTCGTCGTTCACATCCTTTCCATCGTTTCTATTCTTCAGAGTCTTCTTATCAAACTTGCGTCCGCTCTGTCTCTTCTGATGGCTCTTATGGTTGTCTTGTTTGCCATAATTGTCGTCCATTTTTGTCCACACATTCAGTCAATCACTTCATCTCAACATTTAATTCACATTTGAAAACATGTTTTTCAATAACACATGCTTTCGATGCAAAGTTGCAGACAATAAGACAGACACTGCTCTCTAGCGAGCGATTCAGTCACTCATTTCCCTCTCTTTCATATGAAGAATATTCTGTACACTATTTGACACATATTTATAGTAAGGCTAGAAGTGAAAGTTAATCAAACGTTAATTTTTCATTTTTAACTTTTTATTGTGTATTAACTGACAAATAATTAACAAAGAAAACAAACAAAAAATTTATTAATAAACTTTGAGAGAGAAAGAGAGAGAGATTAGACATTGAGTTAGACATTGAGTTATTTGAGAATTATTTATGTTTTTACTAATTATTAAAATAAGATTTTGTAACTCAACAGTGAATGTCTGTAAAAGTTTTAATTACAAATTAATTTAAATATTATTCTCTGGGTTTAGTATTGGAAGTGTTGGAAGCGATCTCTTTGTAATTTATCCGACTTTTTCCGATTCCATGTCTTCGACTGCCCTCTGTTTTTGGCCGGCATTCGGGGAAACGCTATTCGTCCGCTTGAAAGCAGCCGTCGACTCAAACTTAACGATAAGGAATGTCATGTTATCCTTACCGATGATGCCGTGCTTTGGCATCTCTTTGGGCAGTATCTGTGCGAACACTTCTTCGCATATCTTTGACAGTTGTTTATGTTTTGTTGTTCTTCGGCTGACGTATGCGATGAGTTCGTCGGGCGGAACAGCATTCCAGACGCCGTCGCATATGAGAACCATTAGACTGTCGTTCGGTGTCAACGGTTCTGTCTTAACCACTGGCCACGCGATCACCATCTGTTCCTTCTTCGACATGCTTTGGTTGCGTTTAAACATATGGTCACCAAAAGCTCGCGAGACGTTAATCCCTCCGTTGACGCGTCCGCTCTCTGTCACGTGTCCGCCCGCTCTCTCGATGCGAGCCTTCTCTTCGTCGTCTTCCGGCTTATTGTCAACGGAGAGCGGAAACGCCTTTCCGTTCCGACACAATATACTGCGAGAGTCACCCAAATTAGCGCAATATATGATATTGTCTTTAATGAGAACCACACTCGCGGTGCAGCCGCTGGCGATGGCGGGCGCGTTGGCGTTAATGATCGGAAGCTTACTGTAAGACTTTCTAATGGTTATCAGCTTTTGAATCGAGTCCGGAGTGAGAAGAAGATCGTCGAAAGCCATGAACGCCTCCTGAAGAGCGATCTCATACTTGCCTTCCTTGTAGTTCTTGTTGTCGAGAAGCAGTTTCGGGAGTCGTTTGGACGCAAAGAGAGCCACTTCTGCGCCGTTATGTCCGTCCAAAACGGCCCAAAGACTGGCGTTTTTGTCAAATGATGGCAAACAGATGTGTGCGTCCTCTTGAGTGCTACGCCAGCCCTGCACTGAAGAGGCGGCAAATGTCACGTTCGGGCCCTTCCCGTCTTCAGACACAGGTTTGTCGATCACTTGTTTTAGATATGTCTCAGACAT